AGCTGACTTCATTCAGTGATTAATAGAAATAAACCAGCATGGAACATAGGCAAAGGAGGCAAACACACAATGAAAAAGCAGATAAAGTTTATCTAGAAAACAGAGGAAAAGTTTATATAAATAGTTTTCTGTAATCTCAAATAGATTATATACATGATCTTATTAACAGTGTAAGATACTCAATAAAGATACAATTTTCAATAGAGGTTATACAAACAGAATTAAATGAAAAAAAAAATAAAATGGCACAGACTAAAACAGCAATGGAGAAGACTAAAACCATTATGAATCTGAATATCACGTTAGAGTTTACAAAATAACATACAACTAAAAACTCACTTGGGTTATGCTTAGCAAAAGTTAACAAATTTAAAAATACAAAAGTGATTATATAGAATATTATAAATAGTTACAGAGACAAGAGATTTAACATAGTTAACATTCTGAAAGAAAAATTTATTTAGACACATAATAAGAAACATAATCTGAAATAAAATTGAAATCTAGAATAAAAAAACAGTCCTCAAAATGTCTTGCTTTGAACAAACACTATCTACATTTCAACGATCTCTTCATTTTACTCTAGCATATTTTTTCTTAAATGGAGGTCAAGTTAAATTTAATTTTTTTATTACTTAGCAACAACATTCACATAGAGAATATTTGGCTCCTACATTTATAAATTTTCTCTTGTAATCAATCAGTCTATCCTTCTATACAAACATATCTATACAAAGTATCTGGCATGATATTAATAAAATATTAGATTCTTAGTGGTGGGATTTTAGATTTTTAAATTTCTGCAATATCTATCTTTATTTTTAACAATCATATATCATTTTTACAAATGACTATGAAATCATTTAGATTAAAATTAAAAAAAAAGAAATGTAAGGTTAACTGAGAGAGAGAAGGAGATATCTCAATTTGTGTACTACCTAGGGATTAATGGTCCTCCATTCCATTCGCTCAGACAGCAATCAGGTGATTTCTCTGAAACAGAAATGTAGTATGTGCATCTTCATCTAATTATCCTGCAGAATTTTCAATAAATCGCCACTAATTCGAGATCAAATCCAATCTCTTTGGTAATTTACACAAAATTCTCTCTAATCCAGCCCCACAATTCCTTCCAACATCACCAACTTTCATTTCTCACATTCACTCATCTCTCCCACTACCCTAAACTATTTGTAGTAAGAGTTCCCCTTGAAGTTCCAAATCTATGTCTTTTTTTCATGCTTCAGGTGGTGCTAAAAATGTGCTTTCATTGTTTGTAGAGTAGATAGAGGGACTAGAACTTCAAATTATTTTACAGAATTCGGTTTACTATTATCTCTGTGAAGCCTTCCCTGCCATCACTCTTTTTTTCTTCTCACCAACAAAGTTATAAAATTATGTGCATCCTTTTTCTAACCTCTAGATCAGTGCCAAGCCAAGCAATAATAGAACCTGAATCAAAAGGAAATATTAATATTGATCCTATCTTTATTTAAAATATGGGTATTCATTCATCAGAGATTTTTGTATGAATTTTGAATTTTTAAAATATTCTTTCAAAACATTATTTATCTTGATTATTGAGGATTTTGGTGCTCCCGTATATTTTGTGCCTGAGGTGAGTGCTCACCCATATCACCTTGTCTCATCTCTATGCTACTGCAGCACATATTACACTCCATAGTTATTTATCTACATATCTATCATCACGACCAGACTATAAGGAACCTATAAGGAAAGGAACTGGTTTTGTTTATCTAAGTACATCTAAAACTCAGCACAGCACCCAACATTAAGCAGGAGCCTGTTTAGTAAAGATGAGTTAAAACCCAGAAAAAAGAAAGAACTAAAATTCTTTAGTCTTTAAATAATGAAGTCTTCCACAGGGAAGAAAATATCTAATCTAAATGAAGAGATGTTATTTCTTTTAAGGTAAGGAAACCTTAGTTTGAGGCAAGTTGTGAGCTAAAACTAATTAAGCAGTCAAATTAAAATCAAGGGTCTTTTTCCCGGTAAACATTTATTTGTGGAACAAAATATTGAGTGTATCCATCTCAAGAATTTGCTTACATTTAGTCTACATGAGAACCAAAGAATATTAAAACTGAAAGAAATCTTAGGTATTATTTAATCTCCTTTTATAAATAAGGAATCATACCTGAGAGGTTAAGTGACTTGTCTAAGCGTCAGAACTTGAAATCTTACCCTCCATTTCTCCACCTGGTGCTTTTTCAATAGAGGTTATTTGCAAACCTAGTAGAGGAACCATTGGGAAATAGGAAAGCAGAGAGTGGGGAATTTTTTTTTCTAGGCCAGGCAGTATTACCAGTTCATGAGTAAAGCAAACCACAATTAAATTTTTATGTATTGCTTGAAACATGGTCACTGCTAAGGTGAGGTGACTAAAAAATTACCTTTCAAAGTTCATTTCAGCCCTGTGATGTATCTTTATCACTAACTTTTCTATGATTCACTTCCATCAGTAAAAGAGGATGACTCTACTCTCCGCCTACTCTAATTCAAGATTTGTGATGTCTAATTTAAAATATACACCACTCAAATAATCTGTATATGCACAAAACAAGTCATTTTAAACTGTGGATTAATCATGTAAATATGTTATCATACCTAGTCATGCCCAGAGGAAATTAGAATTATGTAGCAGTTAGTGGTTGGTGTGGAGTTTAAATCTAGACTATAGATACTGGTACTGAATAAAACACCTGAACTTCATATTTAAAAGGTAGAAACATACAAAGGTACTACTCTCAGCTGGAACTATTCTTGACAGATTGCTAGAACTTTGGGCTCTCCTAATGATGCCTGTTAGATTTTCTAACAGAAAAAAGTGACTGGTTCTTCACAAGTGTCCTGTTTAATGTAGCTCTGAGTTATTGAAAAGATAGAAATGATGACCAGAATAAAAAATTTAGCCTTGAATTAATTTGATAGAATTCAGTTGGGAAAAATAAACTATACATTATTAATATTAACAGTGTATACAAATAAAATAATTTTTTTGTGTATTAGTGATTAGACTTTCTGGTCAATTTATTCGTCAGATTAAGAATTAAGAATCCTTGGTTAATTTTGTGCTTTCTCTTTATTTGACCATCTGATTTATTTAGAATCTCCTTCATACACAAAGATAAGAAAAAAAACTATGAGTTCATTTGGATCTATGGTCTACAAATCTAAAACTATTTATTTTTATCCCTTTAGTATCTGTAAAATATGTAGGAGAAGAATTTATTTTTTAAAAAAGAAATCCAATGAAATATTTCTTAAGAATAGACTAATAAAGAAGCAAGGAGTATATTTCTCACCGAAGAAATAAGGTCATTTTGTTAGAATAATGAAAAATCGTACTTTCCAAGCATTGCTCTCAAGGGTAGAAATCTGCTCACATGGATGAAATAATGATGAATGAGCTTTTTGTACAAGTACTCTTTATTAAATATGTGCATTTATACCAATTTTACTGGGCCTCATATTACTGCCAATTTATAAAAGAGGAGTTTGGATTGGATTATTTCTAAAGCATCTTTCAACCTTAAAACTGTTGATTATTCTAGGAAATATCTAGAGAGATAACCAAGAAGGAATTCCTGATATGTGATTCAAAATTAATATTTGGCATTTGCATATTTTATGGGTCTCATATATAACCATTTCAAGGCAAAGCAATAACTAAAAAACTAATGCCAATTAATATCATTTCTTTTCTAAAAAATAATAGATCAAAATGGTCCCCAAAACATGTAGAACACATTCATTCACAAAACCCAGATCAGAAAGAGAGAAGTATAGACGAAAAATCTAGAAGCAACACAACAAAAAACTAGACCTGGATTTAGTCGCGTAAGACAGCTGCAAAGAATTCAATTAAGTTGTTAAGTCTACCTAATGAAAAAGAAAAGTCAGTAAATGAAAATCCTGATAAATTACATAACAGAGTCAGTGGCATCCTACCCCTTGGCTATGATTTTTTTTTACTCCATTCCTTTGCCGCTCTTTTAAATTTAAAATATCCAACTTAGTTATGAAATTGTACAAAAACTTTATTCAAAATAAACACAAAACTATCCAGAAACACAGAACTACAGACACAAGAACTCCCCAGAAGGTTAGCATTTCACCAGCTAATACAAATCTATATTGGGAAAAGCATCTGAATGTTCTTGTATTGAGTTCCTAATTCTGATGATTCTGTGATTCTGATCAAAAACTATTCTGTGATTCTGATCATATTTGAGACAAGTAATCTATAAGGTCTTACAGTGCCCAGATTTCTACTTTCAGGTACACATTTCTTTTCACTTATAAAAAAATCTGTACCACGTTTTTATTACATTTTGAAGTAAGTTGAAGTTGTTTTAATGTGTACTTATCTCCAAAGTGGCCATGTGAACAATATACCTGTTATCTTCTACCAATATAGGAGACACAAATATTTTGAACGTTTTCAGGCTCTAAGTAATTTTTCTCCATTAAAGAATGCAATGGCTTCTGCTACTTTATGGTTTATTAGCATGCATTGACTGTTCTACTATTTCAGTAATACTGTAGGTAAAGGTGAAAGAGCTTTCCTAGAGAGACAATATCTAGCATAGTGCCTGGGACCTGATAGGCTCTGAATAAACATGTTAAAAGAATACATATCTGAATGAACTACTATCAAAAAGAATTCATATAATGAGTTAAACTTTGGCTCAAAGCACAAATTTTCAAGTCAACTGTTAAGTCCTGTTTGGACAACATATGACAGGAAACATATTTTCCCTGGTCTCTTTCTTTGTTTTTGATGCAGCAGAAGTTTCACTCTATTGATCAGTATTTGTTTTGTTCCATTTAACTTTTAAAAGTGTTTCATTTAGCAAGAAAAGTCTTTTTCTTGTAGACACTAGGTAAGAGGATCTCCAAAGTCACCGCATATGATATCCAATAAACAATTCTGATTAATGGCCATGCCACTGGGAAATTTAGGGTGGTTGGTTGATAGTCATGGTGTACATTAAAAAATGTCATAGTCTGTTTTCAAATTTCAATGCAAAAAATGTACCAGCTATCTTTAATAGCCCTATTTCACTAGTCCCAACTTTCCAGGATGGTCTGTAATCCATCTACTTTGAAGGATGAATTGATTCTATTGAAATAGTTTTTCTGAAATAAAAATTGGCTCACTTTCTCTTCACTGAGAATTAACTCTCCCAATAACTGGCTTGAATTTTTTAAATGGAAAAATTACATAGAATTTTTATTTTAGTAAAGAACAACTGTTTATCTTTAAAAACATTTAAAAAGACATTCTGCATTAAGTATATCATATTTTAGGAAACTACCATAGCAAAAAAAAATTACATTAGGCTTTCTGATTTCTCCATAGTGTCTTTAGATAAATAAACAACCCAATAGACCATGTTAAATGCCCCAAATGTTACTGGAAAGAGAATACGGGCATATTTGTCTATTTTACTTGTGCCAGATCCGGAAGGCGGTGGAGAAGAGGGAGAAGTAATGGCTGACAACTTTCCAGAAGCCCCTATAGTATTAACTGTGGTCTTAATTCGCTCCAGTCTTGATCCAAACATATGGTGGGTAGAAGCAGATCCAACTGAAGCTTGCCGGGGCACATACCCAGTTCTACTAGGAGTAGAAGAAGCAGACGGAAGAGCTCTTGCAGCAGAAATAGTTTCAGCTGCATTTGCATGGCTGAACGGATTTGGACTAGAAGCTAAGTAAGACTGTGATGTGGCTTCAGAAGATTCTTGAACAGCCATAGAAGATCTGCTCAAATGGTTTCCTACCTCAGTTCTGATGCCAACATCAGACTCAGAGTGAACCAAGGCATTCGTTCTTTTCCTCATGTTCAGATTTGCATTTGTGTTCTGAAAAAGTATATTAAAAATTATATTGGTATGTCATTTAGGTAGATTTAAACAAAGCTTAAATAGATCAAATAATTAAAATTAGTTTCTATAAAATAAACCTTTATTAAAATGCTATAGCCATTCAGCTTGATATAAAAGCTTACCAAAAATAACATGTATATATTTGAAACTCTGAATCAAAAATCTATTTCAAAATATTAGCCATTCTCATAAATAAGTAGAATTTAAATCTATAGAAAGAAGATTAGGTTTCTAGAACTAAAAACTAGATTTACGCTTTAGTTCATGATGACAGCTGTAAAACTTATTCACTCAGTTTTATTGTAAATAATATTCTGTGATATGTTGCATATACTTCAATGAGTTTTGTATTTGTTTGCATTATAAATATGAAGAACTTGACGTATTCTCTTGCATAGAAAAACAACAATAATAACAATCTATGTGCACATACCATTCCTTTAAAAAAACTCCAAAAGCTTTCATTTCTAAATCCCTGGAATTTATTTTCATAAAATTATATAGGCAATCATACACATTATTTAAATCTAGAAATCCAAATGCATTTTAGGTTTTTACCATGATTAATAATGAAAATAGAAAGGAAAATTTTATTTTAATAAAATGTATTAGATATATAAATAGCATTATCATATCACTGCATAAATATCTGAGTTCAAATTACTTACCAATAAAAAGTGATTAAATAAAAATCGAATTCAGTATTTTTCATCAAATTATATTATGTGTAGAACAAGACTATATTTGAATGCAGATGCATGAAAATATTTAAATTAATTCTCTTTGTAGTTTGACATGCACAATAAATAACTATACAGCTAAGTATAGATAGTCCATACTAATGAAGGAAAGCAATTGCTTAAATGATTTATTAAATAATCATGTCTGTTTTTTTATATTAAGGGTATATAGTTATTACTTTCTATACCTTCCCTTTCTACCATTTTATGAAATAAATGATGGGTGAGAAATAGAAGAGAGGGAGGGAGAAGAACAGCTCACAAGCATGTGATTAGTAGAAGCCAACCTAAAAGAAATTGCACATATAATATGATATATAATCAAGAACTCACTTTAGAAAAAATATTTATTCTACAAATACAATCTTTTCTCAGTATCACACTCATCAAGCAATCTGAAAGTATTTCATCCATATCTCATACACTTATGAATTATGACTTCAAGTTTTGTGAGTAGACAAAATAAACTTCATAAAATGAGAGCCAAAACAGGATCTGAGTGGTTTAGAAAGTATTCTTCAAGTCAGCCTGGAGCATTCTTCTAAGCAACATGTAGTTGAATTCATGAGAAATTTCAGTCGACATATGGCACATAATTTTGGTTGAGACAACTGAAACCACAATTGACTTCAACCTAAAAGCTAAATTACCATTATTTACCCTGCACTTTTCCTTTACAAAGCACGTAGTAAATGTCATTTAATTAATACTCAGATTTTGAGTCCCTTTTTATAGAAAAGAATATTGTTAATTGATTAACATTAATTCTAAAACATTATACACAATGTTTTAACATTATACACAATGGTGAAAAATGTGAAGTATAAGGCATATGCACAACATTTAAAGAGCTTACACTATCATTGGTAAGACAATATGTACACCCACACACATGATACAATCAAGAATATAACAAAAAGTAAAACATAATGGAGGGTCAAACTGTGGCAAAATGCTAAATATACTAAGGACTAAAAGGAATAAAGTAGTAAAGGACCAATTGGACAAGCAGGAGAGGAATATGTATTTTCAAATATAATCCGATAATGACATATTGTCTTCTACCAAAAGTTAGGTTGCCCATAGTCTTTAGAAACCCATTGTTTTCCTTAGAATAAATTCTGAGAATTGGAGACTTCTACTTTTGGCCAAATGGAATAACAGGGACTAAATTTACTCTCCTGCACGAAATGACTATCGAAGCTGGACAAAATATGGGAAACAACTGTTTTTTCAAGACACTGGGCATTAGACAACATAGAATCATAATCAGTGAAAGAGAAGAAACAAACTTGAGTGTTCCCATGCTGTGGTGCAGGAAAGGAAATCCGGGACAAATCCAACAGATGTCCTGAATTGAGGAGATGAAGCTGAAAATCTGGAGAAATCAAGATGGCTAAAGTTCATAGGAAAATGTAACATAGAAGCATATGCTAAAGAAAGAGAAAACTCTAAAAACTGAATAGTCCGCATTGATTATTTTGCTAAGCACAGATCAGTTTATGAGTGAGAGGAAATACCCAAGTCTCCAAAAAGAACCACTTGAAAAAAATGAGAAGAACTCGTACCTAGCATACACAAAGCTCAAAATCATGCATGTTCCCATCAGCCAGACTGGAAAATCTCAACATTCATATAGCATTTGGTATAGTATTCAGAAGAGCTTTGTCTCAGTAATATGGAATAATGAGCCCTAAACACTGATCTAATCATCTTTAATGAATTTTGAAAGTAAGACCTGAAAGTATAAAACTAAATTTAATAACTGCATCCCAGAATAAATCACAAAAACATTTATAATACCCCATCTTCTTTCCCTCTAGATCTGTATTCTTCTGAAACTTCTTGAAATCTCAACTCATGTTCTTTACAGTTGACTGAATACAAAAATGGCACTAATTTGTCCTCCTTCTCTATATTTACACCCCTTGTAATGCCCCATGCCTCCTCCACCAAGAGAAGGAGTCTATTTCCCTGCAGACTTTCTCATGATTTTCTTTGGTCAATGGTATGTCGTAGAAGTGATGGTGTGTCATTTCTGAGATTCAGCCTTAATAGTTCTTGGTTGCTTCTACTCTCTCTCAAAACACTGCTACCAATGCCATAAGAACAAAGTTGGGCTAGCCTGCTAGAGAGATCCTTTTGAGCAGAACCTGCCATCCCAGTCAGGCTATCCTAGAACCCAACAGCTAATTGACCACTAGACACATGAGTTTGTCCCAGCTAAGAGTTGAGAAATTGCCCAGCCAAGCCTAATCAAGATCAACAGAACTTTCCAGTTAACTCATAAACTTGAGAGTAAAAATAAATGTTCATTGTATGACCCTGAGGATTTGTAGTTATTTATTATACAACATTGTTGTGGCACTGGGTGAGGTATATAAACCAATTAAATCAGAGATCCTAATAGGAGGTATTGCAAAACCTCTTAGGAGAAGTTTCTTAGACATTCTGGGATAATTCTGGCCAGCCCAGAATTTATTGAAGACCATTAGGGGCCCTGTTTCCTAACTCTACATCCTAGTTAAAGTACCAAGATATTTTGCCTTTTAAAATGCCATTCTTAAAGAATAACAGTATTTTACAACTGAGTTTTAAGTGATCAACTTATTTCAGTTCCTCATTTTATAGCAGAGTCAAATAAAAGCAGAAAGATCATGACTGGCTGGAAGTCATACAGTGAATTACTTACTGAATGTTCTGTCATGTCATGTAGCCTCTCGGTGCATAAATGTGGAGAAGGCATTAAAAAACTTAATAAACTACATCTATCCATTTGAATCAGTCAAGTATTTGTAATCATCAAGCATATTGTTTAAAAATTATTCAAGACTTGGAAATCAGAAATGATTCCAACCCATCCTTTCAATGTCATATTGGAGCATTGTTTAACAAGTCCACCCAAGGATTATTAAGCCTCTAGGAGAATTTACTTGAATTTGATTTTGCTATTTAATATTGGATTTGAGCCAAAACACTGTGAAGTTACATGTTAACTTGTAAATTCCTGTCCAGTAGAAAAGCCCACAAAAATTATGATTTTGTTGCCTGATATGATATTACCCACTTCTGTATCTAACCTAGCAACCTTAATCTAATATTCCTTTTTTCAGGTTACTTATAGCTATTCCTCAAAAAGATTTTGAACCAGATTAATTATTTAAGTGGTTCCCTTATTAATTAAGGAGTTGAAAAAAACTGATATACGCCCATTCCATATTTGTACAAGTCACATTTTTGGCAATTTGAAAATTATGTTCTGAAAACATCTACTATTATACAAGTTATAAGTATCAAGAAATGTAAGCGTAGACTTAAAGAACATGCCCGGAGAGAAAAATGAGCTCAAACCAAAGAGACAGGATTCGTCTGTGGAGATTGGAAACAAGAATCAATGAAACAAGAGACTTTATGAAATTGGAGGAAACAGCATGAAGAGTGTCACCAGGATGGCCATCTGAAAACAAGATCAAATATTTTTATTTCCAATTTAAAATGATTAGTAAACTTCTAGAGTATAAAGACTATCTTATTAATTGCTCTAGGCTAATAAACACTGGAAGCACCTACTTCATTTTTAATACATTTTAATAAAATAGATATAATACTGAATCAAGGTTCTTTTTCAAATTAAGGAAATTAAAGAAAGAATATAAAAAGCTTTCTATCTAACTTCCAGATTATGATTTCTTTGTTTATGGGGCAGATTTCTAGAAGATTGCAGATAATGCGTAAGGCATTGAAATTATTTGACTCAATCCCAAGTGTGACTTAGAATGCCTAAGAATTCTATCAGTAATCTATATATCAGAATTTACAAAAAGGAAAGCAAAATTAGACCTATTTGAAGCTTAAATCTTTGCTCTCTGCCAAGCAGCCAAATGATACTGAAGTTATTTTGTACTGTTATGTTAAGGTCTACTATGGAAAAAGTTGTCATTTTCCATGATGACAAACCATGAAAGGATTGAGAACTCTGCTGACCAACCTGGCACAGGACCCACTAGGAATAATAATATTCACATAGCCTTCAGGTTTTGGAACAACTAATGTGTCAGTCAGAGTAATGTTATGTTTCAAACAGTCGGTAGAGACAGAGTTGCTCCATCAGTATTCAGCAGACACACAGTGGTTACAAACAAGAAAAGCACCTAAGCATCATCTGAATTTTTAAAATATGATTTAGTTTGAAATCATTTTGTCATTAGTCACAACAGCCCGAAGCAAGAAAACTGG